CCTTTCCCTGTTCTTTGTCTAAATCACTTGGTGGTGGCAGCATACTGTTCAAGGACAAGATGAAATTTGTGCCTTGGGAAAGTTTTTAACGTAAGCTGGTAAAAATAAGCTTAGGGAGTCTTTCATGCAGGTCCCCACATCTGTACCCTAGAGTTCAGAGTGGGGAGGGAACCTTGACAGGGGTATACATTTAAGTTGAACCTCTATTATGGTGTCTTTAAAAAGCTTCCACATCACTTGAAGAGATTTCACTTTTGGCCCTGTACCCTTTAATTTCTGTTTAACTAACCTCCTCATTTTTGTGTAGTTCCCCTTTCTGAAATTAAATGCTACAATGTTAGGCTGCTGTGGTGTTTTTCCTGCCACAGGGATATTAAATTTAATTATATTATGGTCACTATTACCAAACAGTCCAGCTATCTTCACCTCTTGGACCAGATTCTGTGTTCCATTTAGGATTAAATCAAGAATTGCCTCTCCTCTGGTGGGTTCCAGGACCAGCTGCTCCAAGAAGCAGTCATTTAAGGTGTCAAGAAACTTTATCTCTGCATCCTGTCCTGAGGTGACAAGTATCCAGTCAATATGGGGATAATTGAAATCCCCATTATTATTATTGAGTTTTTTATTTTAATAGCCTCTCTAATCTCCCTGAGCATTTCACAGTCACTATCACCATCCTGTCCAGGTGGTCGGTAATATATCCCTACCAGTATATTCTTATTATTAGAGCATGGAATTTCTATCCATACAGATTCTGTGGTACAGTTTGATTCATTTACAATTTTTACTTCATTTGATTCTACGCTTTCTTTCACATATAGTGCCACTCCCTCACCAGCATGACCTGTTCTGTCCTTCTGTTATATTTTGTACCCTGGTATTACTGTATCCCATTGATTATCCTCATTCCACCAAGTTTCTGTGTTGCCTATTATATCAATATCCTCATTTAATATGAGGCACTCTGGTTCACCCATTTTATTATTTAGACTTCTAGCATTGGTATATAAGCAATTTAAAAACTTGTTCCTTTTAGCTGTCTGCCATTAAATGATGCAATTGAATGGGACTTTTTTTATTTGACTGTTTCTGATCAGACCCTGCCTGTATTTTATCATTTTCCATCCTCTGCTCCTCACTAGAACATAGAGATTATCTATTAATAGATCCTCCCCTAAGAGATGTCCGAACCATGTGCTCCTCCACACCTGTCGGCTTTCCCCCAGCCCTTAGTTTAAAAACTGCTCTACGACCTTTTTAATGTTAAGTGCCTGCAATCTGGTTCCATTTTGGTTTAGGTGGAGCCCATTCTTCCTGTATAGGCTCCCCCTTTCCCAAAAGTTTCCCCATTTAAGTATCAAAATATCAAATAACTTTAGGTGTCTGAAGCTGTGGTATTACAGTGTGTGGAATGCCACAAGGGGGATGATTATAATGCTGAATGAAGGAGGCAAAGGGTCAAGATTGTTGCTTGTTAAATCACTCTTGTCTGAATTCAGGGGCTAGAGCGCTGCTCATTTTCCAGCATTTTCAGTATCTGCTTTGGATGTTGACACAGCTATTATAATGGTTACAGCGGATATTCACACTGCACTCACACACCCCATTCTCCATACTCCTTGCGTTCATGTTAGTACTGCCTAGTGCTTCTCGATGTGCAGTTAACAAGAAGCAGCATACAAATGGATAAGGCACAGAGATGAAGAAATAGCATGAGGTCTGATTGCAAAATTTCTGTAGTTGAAAGTTTGGCATAAATCAGTGGGGAATTCATTTATTGAAAATTAATCAGTTGTTCCCTGGTAAAATGTGGGGTTTTGTTTTGTTTTAAATGAAGGCAGATGGGAAAGTCACACTTCTAGAACAGAGAAAGGGTATCACCATAACCCAGAGGGCCTGATTCTCCTTTATACCCAGGTCTCTTTACATAACCCCAAAGGGCCTGATTCTCATTTACACCAGGCCTCTTTACACCCTACTGATACTCTAAAGGGGCATTAAAGTGGATATAAATGACATTACCGCACTTTAAGGTAGCCAAAGGGCATTAGTGTTAATGAGAATAAGGCCATTACCATTTAAATCAGTGCTGTTATTGTAATCAATTATTTCTCCCACCTCTAGCAGTGTTTGGGAGCCGTTAGCCATATTTGGGAGCTGGTATTGCTGTTTCATACATGCAATAACCTTCCCCATCCCTCATTTATCTTGGCTGCTGTCAGGGTTCCCTCCCCACTCTGAACTCTAGGGTACAGATGTGGGGACCCACATGAAAGACCCCCTAAGCTTATTTTTACCAGCTTAGGTTAAAAACTTCCCCAAGGCACAAATTCTTCCTTGTCCTTGGACTAGTATCGCTGCCACCACGAAGTGAGTTAAACAAAGATTTAGGAAAAGGACCACTTGGAGTTCCTGTTTCCCCAGAATATCCCCTCAAGCCTCTTCACCCCCTTTTCTGGGGAGGCTTGAGAGTAAACAAGGTGACTACAGACCAGCCCCTTGGGTTTTTAGGACACTAAAAACCAATCAGGTTCTTAAAAGCAGAACTTTATTATAAAGAAAAAGTAAAAGAAGCACCTCTGTAAAATCAGAATGCAAGGTAATCAGATTCAAAACACAGAGGACTCCCCTCTAGGCAAAACTTTAAAGTTACAAAAAAACCAGGAATAAACCTCCCCCTTAGCCTAGGGAAAATTCACAAGCTAAAACAAAAGGTAATCTAATGCATTTCCTTTCTATTACTTACAATTTGTAATTTTAGATGCTTAGTTCAGGTATTGCTTTAGGAGATGTATTTTCCCTGAACTGGTTTCTCACTGTCCCGGAGAGAAAACAAAGAAACACAGAACAAAAACCTTCCCTCACAGATTTGAAAGTATCTTCTCCCCTTATTGGTCCTTTTGATCAGGTGCCAGCCGGGTGTCAGTGTTCCTTCCCCACTCTGAACTCTAGGGTACAGATGTGGGGACCCGCATGAAAGACCCCCTAAGCTTATTCTTACCAGCTTAGGTTAAAAACTTCCCCAAGGTACAAACTTTGCCTTGTCCTTGAACAGTATGCTGCCACCACCAAGTGTTTTAAACAAAGAACAGGGAAAGAGCCCACTTGGAGACGTCTTCCCCCAAAATATCCCCCCAAGCCCTACACACCCCATTTCCTGGGGAGGCTTGAGAATAATATCCTCACCAACTGGTTACAAAATCGTCAAAGACCCAAACCTCTGGATCTTGGAACAATGGAAAAATCAGTCAGGTTCTGACTGGTAAAAATCATCTCTGTAAAATCAGGATGGAAAATACTTTACAGGCTATTCAGATTCAAAACACAGAGGATCCCCCCTCTGGGCAAAACCTTAAAGTTACAGAAAACAGGAATAAACCTCCCTCTTAACAGAGGGAAAATTCACATAAAACAAAAGATAAACTAATCCGCCTTGCCTGGTGTACCTATACTGGAGACTTGGATTAGGATGGGTTGGAGAAGATGGATTTCTGTTTGGCCTCTCTCAGTCCCAAGAGAGAACAACCACATAAACAAAGAGCACAAACAAAAGCCTTCCCTGCCCCCAAGATTTGAAAGTATCTTGTCCCCTTATTGGTCCTTTGGGTCAGGTGCCAGCCAGGTTAGCTGAGCTTCTTAACCCTTTACAGGTAACAGGAAGTTGCCTCTGGCCAGGAGAGATTTTATAGCACTGTATACAGAAAGGTGGTTACCCTTCTCTTTATATTTATGACACAGGTTATCTGAGCTTCTTAGCCCTTTACAGGCAAAGGAGGGATTTTATGCTCCCCTTAGCTGTATGTTTATGACAGCTGCTGACAGAGTGGAGTTAGTTTTGGCTTATGCCCTCCTTGTGTGTCTGTGGTATTTCTCTTGGACCTTGCACTGTGATGCCCTCCTGACTTGTGTGTGGAACAGTTATTAGGACAAGAAGAGAAAACTGTATTTCCTCGTGTGCCTCTATTTCAGAGCCAGTCACATAAAATCATCACTGGTAAAGTTTGCAGGTGACACAGAAAGTGGGGGAGTGGTAAATAACGATGAGGGCAGGTCACTGATTCAGAGAGATCTGGATCAGTTGGTAAACATGAGACAAGCAAATATGAGTTTTAACACAGCTAGCTGTAATTGTGTACATCTGGAAACAAAGAATGCAGGCCACACTTACAGGATGGCTCTATCCTGGGAAGCAGGGACTCTGAAAAAGATTTGGGGGTTGTGGAGAATAATCAGCTGACCACGAGCTCCCAGTGTGATGCTGTGGCCAAAAGAGCTAATGCGATCTTGGGATGTATAAACAGGGGAATCCTTAGGATTAGCTAAGTTATTTTACCTGTCTTTGGCACTGAGGTTGACTGTTGCTGGAACACTGTGTCCAGGTCTGGTGCCCACAATTCAAGAAGGATGTTGATAAACTGGAGAGGTGTCAAAGAAGAGCCACGAGAATGATTAAAGGATTAGAAAACCTGCCTTGTAGTGATAGACTCACGGAGCACAGTCTATTTAGCTTAACGAAGAGAAGGTGAAGGGGTGACTTGATCACATTTTATAAGTACTTACTTGGGGAGCAAATACATGATCATGGGATCTTCAATCTAGCAGAAAAAGGTCAAACACAATCCAATCTCTGGAAATTGAAGCTAGACAGACTCAGATTGGAAATAAGACATAATTTTTTAACAGTGAGAGGAATTAACCATTGGGACAATTTACTAAGGGTTGTGGTGGATTCTCCATCACTGGCGAATTTTCAATCAAGACTGGGTGTTTTTCTAAAAGCTCTGCTCTAGGAATTATTTGGGGGCAGGTCTATGGTCTGCGCTATACAGTGGGTCAGACTAGCTGATCACAGTGGTCCTTGGTTGCCTTGGAATCTCTGAAATCCTCTCCACAGCCTGGATGGAATCAAGGCTGCGTGAGTGTCGGTGTTAGTGGTGGTAGGCAGAGGAGTGTTGGGGGTGTCCTTTGAAGGAAGTGACCTTGTCTCTTTGTCTCAACAGTGCAGTGGACTGAGCAGGAGTTTGAGCTGGCCCTCTGGGCCTTCAGGAAGTGGAAGTGGTACCAATTCACATCGCTCCGGGACCTGCTGTGGGGCAATGCAATTTTCTTAAAGGAGGCCAATGCCATTAGTGTGGAGCTGAAGAAGAAAGTAAGCACCTTCTCTCATAGAATCATAGAATCATAGAATACCAGGGTTGGAAGGAACCTCAGGAGGTCATCTAGTCCAATCCCCTGCTCAAAGCAGGACCAATCCCCGACTAAATCATCCCAGCCAGGGCTTTGTCAAGCCTGACCTTAAAAACCTCTAAGGAAGGAGATTCCACCACCTCCCTAGGTAACCCATTTCAGTGCTTCACCACCCTCCTAGTGAAAAAGTTTTTCCTAATATCCAACTTAAACCTCCCGCACTGCAACTTGAGACCATTACTCCTTGTTCTGTCATCTGCTACCACTGAGAACAGTCTAGATCCTTCCTCTTTGGAACCCCCTTTCAGATAGTTGAAAGCAGCTATCAAATCCCCCCTCATTCTTCTCTTCTGCAGACTAAATAAGCCCAGATCCCTCAGCCTCTTCTCATAAGTCATGTGTTCCAGTCCCCTAATCATTTTTGTAGCCCTCCGCTGGACTTTTTCCAATTTTTCCACATCCTTCTTGTAGTGTGGGGCCCAAAACTGGACACAGTACTCCAGATGAGGCCTCACCAATGCCGAATAGAGGAGAATGATCATGTCCCTCGATCTGCTGGCAGTGCTCCTACTTATACATCCCAAAATGCCATTCGCCTTCTTGGCAACAAGGTCACACTGTTGACTCATATCCAGCTTCTCGTCCACTGTAACCCCTAGGTCCTTTTCTACAGAACTGCTTCCTAGCCACTCGGTCCCTAGTCTGTAGCAGTGCATGGGATTCTTCCATCCTAAGTGCAGGACTCTGCACTTGTCTTTGTTGAACCTCATCAGATTTCTTTTGTCCCAATCCTCTAGTTCTTCTTTGAGTGCTTGTTCACTTCCATCCAACATTAGGTATGCATGCGTCGCGTGCACGAGCGTCAGAAACTTTTTCCCTTAGTGGCTCCTGTCAGGCTGGCAGGGCCCCTGAGTGGCGCCACTGCGCCTTGCATATATACACCTGCCTGCCGACCCCCTTCGGTTCCTTCTTATCGTCCGTGGCGGCTTTGGAACAACCTCTCTCTCTTGGATGAGAGCAGTCCCTTAGCCTTTCTCATAAATAGCTGTTATCAGTTAGTTAGCATACCTTTGTTGTGGACAATTAAGTGATTAGGTGCTTGAAGGCTTCCAGCACCCACCCCGGGCCATGGGGCATGCTGCAGGCCCATGGGTTTAAGGCTTGTGCCACGTGCCACAGGCCTATGCCAGTTAGTGACCCCCATGGCTCATGTCTACATTGCCTGGGGGAAGAACATCAAACTGAGCGGTGTAAGATTTGCAAGACGTTCAAGCCAAGAATACAGAAAGAAAGATACTTTCATTTAAAGCAGTTGTTGATGGAAGCCGCGTTGCAGCCACCGGGCCCGCAGTGCCCAACGCTGGCTCCGGCTTCCTTGGTGCGTAGTACCCCGGAGCCGTCGGGAGACTCAGCACTGGCTAAACACCGAAAGCTGTCGGCCCCAGAGCGCCAGACTAGGCCCCAGCACCGCTTGTCCTCCCTGGTGCGGCCCACGGCGCAGCCAAAAGGAAGGCGCGGACTTTCCCCGCATCGGAGGCCGGCGCCTTCCAAGGCCCCGAGCACCAATAAGAGCGGGAAGGCCACTGTACGGGCGCTGGACATGGAGGTGGAGGAGATCTGCAGAGCAGACACCTGGTCCTTGGTGTATACCTTCACAACCCATTACGTGGTCAACCAGCAGGCCAGAGAGGACGTGGCAGTTGGCAGAGTGGTCCTCCAATCAGTTGTTCCGTGACTCCTACCCTCCTCCAGAGGTAAGCTTGTGATTCACCTAATGTGGAATGGATGTGAACAAGCACTGAAAGAAGAAAAAATGGTTACTTACCTTCTTGTAACTGTTGTTCTTCGAGATGTGTTGTTCTCATCTATTCCACCACCGACCCTCCTACCCCTCTGTTGGAGTCGCCAGCAAGAAGGACCCGGAGGGGGTTGGGCGGCAGGGGTATTTTTGCACGGCACAGTGGCACCACTTGGGGGGCCCGCCTGCCCGACGGGAGCCGCTAAGGGAAAAAGTTTCCGACGCTGGTGCACGCAGCGCATGCACACCTAATGTGGAATGGACGTAAACAACACATCTCGAAGAACAACAGTTACAAGAAGGTAAGTAACCATTCTTTCTTCTAGCTCCCTCTGTATCCTATCCCTACCCTCCAGCGTATCTACCACTCCTCCCAGTTTAGTGTCATCTGCAAACTTGCTGAGGGTGCAATCCACGCCATCCTCCAGATCATTAATGAAGATACTGAACAAAACTGGCCCCAGGACCGACCCTTGGGGCACTCCACTTGATACCGGCTGCCAACTAGACATGGAGCCATTGATCACTACCCATTGAGCCCGACAATCTAGCCAGCTTTCTATCCACCTTAGAGTTCATTCATCCAGCCCATACTTCTTTAACTTACTAGCAAGAATACTGTGGGAGACCATGTCAAAAGCTTTGCTAAAGTCAAGGAATAACACATCCACTGCTTTCCCCTCCTCCACAGAGCCAGTTATCTCATCATAGAAGGCAATTAGATTTGTCAGGCATGCCTTCTCCTTGGTGAATCCATGCTGACTGTTCCTGATCACTTTCCTCTCCTCTAAGTGCTTCAAAATTGGTTTCTTGAGGACCTGTTCCATGATTTTTCCGGGGACTGAGGTGAGGCTGACTGGCCTGTAGTTCCCCGGATCCTCCTTCTTCCCTTTTTTAAAGATTGGCACTATGTTAGCCTTTTTCCAGTCATTCAGAACCTCCCCCAATCGCCATGAGTTTTCAAAGATAATGGCCAATGGCTCTGCAGTCACATTCACCAACTCCTTTAGCACCCTCGGATGCAGCACATCTGGCCCCATGGACGTGTGCTTGTCCAGCTTTTCTAAATAGTCCTGAACCACTTCTTTCTCCACAGAGGGCTGGTCACCTCCTCCCCATGCTGTGCTGCTGCTGTAGTTGTCTGGGAGCTGACCTTGTTCATGAAGACAGGGGCAAAAAAAGCATTGAGTACATTAGCTTTTTCCACATCCTCTGTCACTAGGTTGCCTCCCCCATTCAGTAAGGGGCCCACTCTTTCCTTGACCTTCTTCTTGTTGCTAACATACCTAAAGAAACCCTTCTTGTTGCTCTTAACATCTCTTGCTAGCTGAAACTCCAAGTGGGATTTGGCCTTCCTGATTTCACTCCTGCATGCCTGAGCAATATTTTTATACTCTTCCCTGGTCATTTGTCCAGTCTTCCTCTTCTTGTAAGCTTCTTTTTTGTGTTTAAGATCAGCAATGATTTCACTGTTAAGCCAAGCTGGTCGCCTGCCATATTTACTATTCTTTCTACACATCGGGATGGTTTGTTACTGCAACCTCAATAATGATACATTAAAATACAGCCGGCTCTCCTGGACTCCTTTCCCCCTCATGTTATTCTCCCAGGGAATCCTGCCCATCAGTTCCCTGAGGGAGTCAAAGTCTGCTTTTCTGAAGTCCAGGGTCCATATTCTGCTGCTCTCCTTTCTTCCTTTTGTCAGGATCCTGAACTCGACCATCTCATGGTCACTGCCTCCCAGGTTCCCATCCACTTTTTCTTTCCCTACTTATTCTTCCCAGTTTGTGAGCATCAGGTCAAGAAGAGCTCTGCCCCTAGTTGGTTCCTCCAGCACTTGCACCAGGAAATTGTCCCTGTCACACTCAGGCTCTCCAGGATTTTACCCCGAGTTATGTAACTGAGTTTTCGTTCCAGTTTTTTGGAGGAAATTGGATGCCTCCACTTCCCCATGGTTGCTGGATGCAGAGCTAAGCACGTGCATTTCCCAGTAATTACCAAATCAAGAGGTGTTTGTGCACAGACAGTAAGCACATGGGACAGAAACTGCAGCCCTCTGCTTTAGTAGAGTCTCATCAGCTTGCATGTACCACCAAGATGGCAAAGCTGTGAATGAGGTCAATGACTGGGGCTCTCAAAGACTGGAAAACGTGTTCCTAGATGAGCCATATTACAGGTTCTACCAGAAGCAATGGGTCAGATTCGAACCTGGCGTAAGCACGTGTAACTCCATGGAAGTCACTGACACCCGCTTAGAGGTCAGGGGTGGCCCTTTGTGCATCTCAGGAGTTATACAGAGTGGATGGATGCCAACAGTCCAAAGGCACTTACTGGGGATCCCCATTCACCATGAGCCCTCCACACACATACTGATTCTCTAACCCTCTGTCCATTCCCAGGTCCAGTTCCAGTTCGTCCTCCTCACAGACACTCTTTACTCACCTCTGCCTCCCGACCTGCTGCCCCCCAATGCTGCCAAAGATCGAGAGAAACGGCCCTTTCCACGAACCATTGTGGCTGTGGAAGTGCAGGACCAGAAGAATGGAGCAACACATTACTGGACTCTGGAGAAACTCAGGTAGAATAGGGCAGAGGTACTGTGGCACAGCCACTTGTATTGTACTGGGCGGGCTGGCACATTCAGGACAAGAAGAGTAGAGTTGTGGAGTCTCCTGTCTTGTGGTCCTAGCCCCTTGGTTTGAAGTTGCATGCAGATGCCCATCAATCAGTGAGAGTTTATTCCTTGCACATTTATTACCACTGCCTTCACAAATAAACAAGAATGATCAATGAGCAATAATACATGGCAAAATAACATAGACCTGTATTTCATTATGTATCTAAACTGATACCTCCTCACTCATATGGTCCCCATGGTTCCATTAGCTCTATTGTTATAGCTCTCCCCACTCCACACCATGCACGGATAGAGAGGTTTCCCCTTCATAGGGTAACTGCACCATGGGGGCTGGAATTCAGTTCCTGTAGTTCAGGTTGTTTGTGTGTTGTTTACCCCAGAAGTATAGTGATATGGGGCTGATGTGTGTGGCTGTAATGCATTGGATACCCCAGAAGTACAGTGGTATGGGGATGGTGTGTGTGGCTCTGACTCGATGCTCAAGGGGCTGGAAGCTGCTCTAGATCCTTAAACCTCATTGTATACGTCTGTTTCTCTCTGTTTCTTCTTGCAGACAGAGGCTGGATCTGATGCGTGAAATGTACGACAGGGCAGCAGAAGTGCCTTCTAGCATCCTTGAGGACTGTGACAACGTTGTGACGGGCGGAGATCCCTTCTATGACCGTTTCCCCTGGTTCAGACTGGTTGGCAGGTGAGAGCCTTGTTCCTCCTTTTTCTAAATCCACCTGCAATCCAAACACACCCACAGAAGGAAACATTGCTTGGTTTGATAGGGACAACTGGTGCAGTGCGGAGAGACCATAGTGGTTGCTGTGGGTGAAAGGGTTGCACCAGGCAGCAAACTAATATCTAAGGAGCACTGTTTTCCACAATCAGTTTTCTCTGCCCTCTGCATGGGTGCTCAGGAGTGATTTTCTGGGACTCCTACTGCACCTAGGCACTTGGTGCCCTGCTACAACAAGTTGGTGGTGAACTTCTCATCGCCTTTGAAGCTGTGCCTAATAACCACAAGGCCCGGGCTCTCAACCTGGGAGTGGCAGCCCCCTGCCTTTACCATCTTGTAGCGTGGGAGGGGGATTCCGGGTGGGTTGGATGTTCCCCATGATGGAAAGGGGACAGGTTGAGGACCCTGCTGTCAGGTTTCCATGTCCATGGATGTGTGTTTGTGTGCACACACGCAGGCGTGCTCATTGGTATCTGAACATCTCTCGGTGTGCTGTACTGTATGTGCTGTGTCTCCTCATGTGCTTCCCACCTGCCAGTTGGAAGGGCACACTGCTGTCAGCTAGGAGGTGTCAAAGGGACCGGACCTGTCAGTAGGGTGCTGCCGAACGCGACCAACCTTGGTGCACTCAAGGCCTGATCCTTGCCAGTTAACAGCAATGGAAGGACTCCCCTTGATGCCAGTGGGCACTCTACCGGGGCCTTAGTTGACAGAGCTACGTTCCTGCTTTGCTGAATCCTCTGCAAAGTCCGAGGTGGCAGTTCCCATCTTTCACACCAGTTTTTCCACACTTGGCGACACTGGGGGCTTCTTTGTAAGATACTTTGGACAGGCAGGTCTTATTTCCCTCTCCCCTCCTGAATAGCGACGGTCCTTGGTGTAAAAGAAAAAGCCTATTCTTTCTCTCTCTTCTGTTTGGAATAGCTGGTGTTAACCTGTCTTCTATCTTGTTGTACTAACCTTAGTTCAGATATCTCTGGCTGCAACAGCTCTCCTCTTTTCAACACATGCATGAGCGAGCGCATGGCTGATCTCACCCCCTCCCCCACCTTCTCGAACCCCGACTCCGACATCACCGAGCCTGCTGACGAGCAGCACGTGGGGAAGGAGGAGGAGGAGGAGGAGGAGGAGGACCTGGAGGAAGACATCTTTCCGGAGTACCCGCTGTATGATGGCCGGGATCCATTTTACGACCGCTCCCCCCTGTTCAGTTTAGTAGGAAGGTTGGTGAGGTTTTAGGAGAGCATGCTGGGAAGGAACTAGCTCTTTCGCACGAGAGAACTGCTTTCTGACACTGTTCCCATGTTAAGGGCATGCGTTCCACAGGCACTCGGGATGGGCTAGCTGAACAGTGTCCTTAAAGAGATGGCCAGCAGGGCAGGTGCACTGGTCAGTGTGATGGTAAGGCAAGTGTTGATAGAAAACGAAGAAGGGAGAGGCTATTCTAGCCAGCTCATCTTTAAAGAGTGAGCTTCAAGACAAGTATCACAGAGTCAATGGGGACCAGGATCGAGTGGCCACTGGATTCACATGGTCTCTTTAAAGAGAAGAGTTTCATGTGACAGAAAATTGTGTGGTGATGACACAGAGGGACACAGAACTGACCCAAAGTATTCCCTTTGCTTTAACACATTTGGGTTTCGGTTCTAATTTACTGCTGGAAACATTTATGATGAAATGTCTGCAAAATGGGTGGCCTTCTGCTCCTGCAGGGATTGTGAGGGTCACATCATTGCAGTCATGGAATGGAAATCCCATGCATGACTCTGACGTAAATCCTCACCAGCAAAAGGAGAACATACAGGCTTCTGGGGAGTGGTGGAATGGCCGAGACCAAGGTGTAACGCAAGCACAGTGAACTGTAAGAGAAGGCCCATTGGTTCTGATTGTTAGGAGAGGGATTCAGAGCCAGCCAGTGGCCCCAAGTGGTGTGTGAGGAAGGGATGGGAGGTGCGTAAAGTGAGCCCAGTACTAAAAGACAGGCAGGTTCAGCTGATAGTGAGTGGGATTTCCCCAGATGACTCAGGGAAGAGCTGTGGGGAATAAGGTTGGCTTCAAAAGCTAAAACCAAGGGCTGTGGAGGGAGAGGATTTTATCTTTTTTTAATTAAAGCCATATATTTTTAAGCCACCACTACTGTGAAGTGGTGACATTTCCACTTGCTGCTTTGGCTAGTACATGGCTGAAAATTATTTTATGCAGTGGTTCGAACTAGAGCCATGTAGAAAAGTGTTGTGTGGGAATCAGAGCTGCCAGAAGTTTTCAGGTGGTTTGGAGAAAAGCTCTGGAGTGGGGAGAGCTTCTCTGCCCTGAAGGGCTGGGAGTGGACTCTGCCCAAAGAGAAAGAGAATTGTTTATTTTCTTTTGCTAGTGAAAACAGAATGTTTCAATGGTTCATTCTGGAAAAGAACTCCAGATCTTGTGAAATTGGTGACATGTTTGATTTGATCGGCCACCATTTCAATCTACCAGAGAAAACCACCTGAAATTGCCAAGTATGGCACCAGATAGCCCAGTTCTGCTTCAGACTTTTCCAAGGGGAAAGAAGAGGTTTTGCCCATAATTGTCCCAGGCCCTGTCCTTTAAAAAATGGATCAAATTCAGACTTGGTGCAAGCAGCTGCAGCTTCACTGTAGTCAGTGGCATTGCTTCCACTTACACTGGGTCGTAATTTGGCCCGTGAGCTGCAAATATGTTTGTGAAAGCAAGAAACCCAGGCAAGAAGCCGAGTTCTCCTTTCCAGCCAATAGGACTTGGGCAATGGGAGCAAGAAGGGGAGGAGAAGGGATCAGAAAAGAGAGAGAGGGAGATGGGATAAGAGTCACTGCAGCCTCAGACCGAAAGAGCTGGGTTCTTCCACTTTTTTTTTCTCTTGGGGGAATCAGAGATTTTAAAAACAAACAAACCAAACTACCAGATACAACAATGATGAACCGAATCCCCCATCCTGTGGGATGTTCCTGGGAGGTCTTGCCTTTTGAATCTTCCCAATTCTTTTGAGTCAGATACGGAATTGGCTTTCCCTGTGCAGCAGCTGTGCCGATCACATTTCTCGTGAAGTGTGCTTGGATTGGTTTATGATTGGATCCTTGTCTTTGATTAGTTTCCCCCCTATTTTCTTTATTCTCTTTTTTTCTTTTTCTTTTTTAGCTGCTGGCTCTCTCTCCAAAGCTTGAGCAAAAAATGGGGGTTATTTCACTTTTGTCTTCTTTTTGAAAGGCTTTTCTTTGGTCTGAGCATGCCATCTTTGCACCTCACCAATCTTGTGGTTAGTGTCTCTGCCCTCCTTCCTTTTCCTTTAGCGACATATTCCCTCCCTCTCCCTATTCCTCTCTTCCTCTTCCTCCCTCTTCAACCTTTCTGGTTTCAGTCTGCTTCAAGATGTGCTCACCTGTAATTTCAGACTGTTATGATGGAAGCTTAACAGTCTTATGATCCACATTCCTCCCCATTAAGGAGGCCTCCCGCAAGATGCCCAAAATCAGATATGTATTCACAGACACCAAAATAAAGCCATCTCCAATAAGGGCATCATAGAGCATTCAGGTGGGCGCCAGACTCAATTCCCTCTGATCCCGGACACTCAAGAGGATTCCGATCCTCTGACCCTGCAGTTCCATCTTATGAGGTGATTCACTGGGAATGGAAGATATTCTGAATCTCTCAGGAAGGGCTCAGCACCTTGTAAGATTGGGGTTTAAAGCTGGTTCTTGCCTTGTGCTTTAATGACCCAATTCAACTGCCGCTGAAGTCAGTGGAAAGATTACCATTGACTCCAGAGGGAGCTGGCTCAGGCTCCAAGATGCATAAGTTCCTCTGGACATTTGAGGCCTGATCCTGCATCTATTGCTGTCAATGGGATCACTGTCATTGCTTTCCCTGGGTGCAGGATTGAGCCCTTTCTGCAGGAATCACCCAGGCTTTATGATGATATTTCAGCTCAGCAGTCAAACCTCTGCTCTGAGGGAGGGCACTGGAGCCAAATGTACAGATAACAAAGCTAAAGATAACATAGGGATAGTCACAGAATCTTGGTTCCCTCCCTCTGAAGAAGCACCCGAGCTACTCTGTGTGGTAATACATTGTTAATACAGTGGCCTTGCTTTCTTCAAACCTATGCCACTCCATTCATCAGAGCCAGGGCCAGCTCTACAGTTTTTGCCGCCCCAAGCAGTGAAAAAAACTGTTGCCGCGGATGGCAAAAGGGAGAAGTTGCCGCTGATTTGCCGCCGCAGCCGGCAGAACAGAGAAGCTGCCGCCGAATTGCCACCACGGCCGGCGAGACAGAGGAGCTGCCACCAAATTGCTGCCATCACGGAAACACTGCCGCCCTAAGCACCTGCTTGGACCGCTGGTGTCTGGAGCCGGCCCTGATCAGAGCATGAGTGTGATGCAGTCCTGTAGACGCTTGCACCCTGCGCTCCTTCAGACTCAGGCTGGGGATGGCTCCCTATCAATCTGCTTTTCCAATCTGGAGACCAACTACAAACAACAGTAAAAGTTGTGGGGGGAGGAATTTTGTACAGCCAGTACCAAGTTCAGTGCTGATGATGGAACATGCTGACCACACACAATGCCACTATGGACTGAGGTCATTACAAAACTCCTGCTGAAAGGAACCTCCCACTTTTGCTGCCTGTTCTCGTCATCCTGGACAAAGGCATGCTGCAGCTTTGTGAAAGAACTCAGACCCTGGATGGAAGGCAGCTGAGCAGGCTCACTACGAGTCAGAGGTGGTGTGGATAGGAAAGGGGGAAGCATTTTGAGGAGCTGACGTGATCCATGGCCTTGCCCACTGTTTGAGAGCATCTGCCCTCTGATCGTCAAGGGGAGGTGCAGTCCTGCGAGGCTGGTGAACAGTCTGCTGCTCCTAAATAGAGGCAGTGGCCAGCAAGGACCTATCCCCAGCAGACTGCAGTGTGGGCCTAGCCATGGGGATACTTGTTTACACCCCTGCAAGGCTAGGCTTCCTGCAACATTATCTCAGCGCAGAGGGGAAGGATGAGATGGCCTCTTAGCGTCCCATCTAGCCCTATATTTCTGTGGTTCTAGGGAGACCACAGAGAGGCTTCAAACTCTTCAGAATGTGGCGGCCCAGGTTCTGGGTAGCCTAGACCAATGGGTGTACCACATTCTGCCTTGGCTTCCAAATCCTTTTCAAGGTTCTGGTTCTAGCTCCAGCAATGGCCATCTGAAAATGTCCTTTCAACAGCGAAGAGGGGATGGTGCATCTGGTTGAGACTGGACTCTGGGCTGCATTCCGAAATTCTGGTCTAATTACAGGTAGAATCTTAGCAGTTTATTCCTCAGTCAAGAAGAGATGGTAAATTGGTAAAAGCCTTCCGATGACCGTGCTGAAAGGGGAAGTGTGATGCTGCCAGGCCTACGGTTTTAAGGATGAAGTTTAAATGTGCAGGTTTTCAACGTTAAAAGTCACCTGTTACATATATCAGGAGTCTGCTCCAGAGTGTGCCCTGCACAAGGCAAAACTGATCCCCCAGAACTAAGATCACCTACAGCCCCGTCTCCACTCTAGTGTCCTCTCTTATCCTGGATGTGTTCAGATTAGATTGGGGTTGCCTACATGACGTGAGTACCACCAAGGAGACAGCACAAACTGCAGTTGTCTTCCTCTCTCTTTGGCTGCCTTTCTCTCTCAGAACTTTTTCTACTTTCACAATGTAAAGGGTCAGAGAGTAGGGATGCAATCTTCAGTCAGCACCAGTGCCAGGTGAAGATTCAGTTACTGTCCAGAATTAATATTCTCATCCGAGTACAGTTTCACCCAGGTGTTAAAGTGCAGACCAGATGTACTCCATTCCTCTACTGATCCAGTTCTTCCTGGTGCACTGGAGTAGGTAACCATCTGTGACTCTTGCCAGCACCAGATCCCCGGCTTGGACGACCAGAAACCGAAGTGCTCCAAGGCACTGGCCAGTCTTGAAAACGTTGCCCTGGGTCACCATACAGAGGCAATAGCAGCGAGAGATTGCAGCCAATTACCGTCCAAAGGCGCTGCCTCCCAAGTACTGAGCCCGGGTGGGGTCTCAAGGGCTGGGAAATGTTCTTGTAGGATTGCAGATCTGCTCAGGAGCAGATAATTCGTCTGGAAATCCTGGGGCTCCAGGCAGCCTCCAGCTTCTCCGTGTACATGAACGTAGTCATTGTGCTGCTTGCTCGTTTAGTTAGGGTGAGACTGAGCCCTAGGCTGAGCCCAGGGGAC